TATAATCTTTTTGTTGAAATGAAAGAAAATACTTTTTTTACATCATGAAAAAAAAACTTTTTTTTTGAAATGAAAGAAAATAATTTTTTTATATCATGAAAAGAAAGTACTTTTTTTGTTAAAATGAAAAAAAAAATACTTTTTTTGTATTATGAAAAGAAAAATACTCATTCATTGAATTTAAAAAAAAAAGAGTACTCTGTCTATAACAAAAAAGAAAGTATCATTAATAATATTTCTATTTAGGGTGGGGGTTGGGGTGAATGGGTGGTAGGGTAGGTTGGATTGGTGGGAGGTGGGGCGGAGGTGGGTTGGTGGGGATAAGAAATAGGGTGGGGAAGGTTAAAAATAATTTTGGAAAATGTTTTCCCTTCTCTTGAGGATAAAGGCGAGGATAAGAGGCTATTTAGGCTAGCCAAGGTGAGAGAGAGAAAGGCCCGTGACTTGGACCAGTGAAGTGCATCAAGGACGAAGAAGGTAGAGTTTTGTTGGATGAGGCGCATATCCGTCGGAGATGGCAGACCTACTTCCATAGTCTCTTGAACGAGGATGGGAACAGAGACATTGTTCTAGGTGATTTGGGATCCCCCGAGAGTCGTGGCGACTTTGGGTATTGAAGGCGGATTAGAGTTGAGGAGGTTGTGGGGGCTATGCGTAAGATGAGCAGGGGCCGAGCGACCGTGCCAGATGAAATCCCGATGGAGTTTTGGAAGAGTGTGGGCAGAGCGGGCTTGGAGTGGCTTACTAGGTTATTTAATGTCATTTTTAGGACGAAAAAGATGTCGGAAGAGTGGAGATGGAGCACGATGGTTCCTACGTACAAGTATAAGGGTGATATCCAAAATTTTAACAACTATCGGGGTATTAAGCTACTTAGTCATACTATAAAGGTGTGGGAGAGGGTAGTGCAGCTAAGGGTGAGGAGAAGGTTGTCTATTTTCGAGAACCAGTTTGGGTTTATGCCGCGACGTTCAACTACGTAAGTCATTCACCTTGTTAGGAGATTGATGGAACAATATAGGGAGAGGAAGAGGGACTTGCATATGGTGTTCATCGATTTAGCAAAGGCTTACGATAAAGTCCTAAGGGAGGTTCTGTGGTGATGTCTAGAGGCTAAAGGGGTACTTGTGGCCAACATTAAGGTGATTAAAGACATGTACGAGGGAGCGAAGACCTGTGTGAGGACACTGAGAGGGGTCTTAGACCATTTTCCGGTCATGATAGGGTTGTATCAGGGGTCGGTATTCAACCCTTTTTTGTTTCCCCTGGCGATGGACGTACTGACTCGACATATCCAAGGGGAGGTGTCGTGGTGCATGTTATTTGCAGACGATATTGTTTTGATTGACGAGACGCGAGACGGTGTTAACGCGAGGTTAGAGGTGTGGAGATAGACCCTAGAGTCTAAAGGTTTCAAGCTGAACAGAACCAAGACAAAATACTTGGAGTGTAAGTTCAGTGGTGCTACTCAGGGAGTGGAAGGGGAGGTAAGGCTGGATTCACAAGTCATCTCTAGGAGGGGGAGTTTTAAGTACCTTTGGTCTATTATACAGGAGATGGGGAGATTGATGAAGATGTCACACATCGTATTGGGGCGGGATGGATGAAATGGAGACTTGCTTTCGGTGTTTTGTGTGACAAGAAGGTACTGCCAAAACTTAAAGGTATGTTTTATAGAGCGGTGGTCAGACCGGCTATGTTGTATGGGGCTGAGTGTTGGCCAGTCAAGAGCTCTCACGCCCAGAAGATGAAGGTAGCAGAGATGAGGATGTTGAGATGGATGTGCGGTATACCAGATTAGATATAATTCGGAATGAAGTTATTTGGGACAAGGTGGGTGTGGCCCCTATTGAGGACAAGATGCGGGAAGCATGGCTTAGATGGTTTGGTCATGTGAGGAGGAGAAGCACAGACGTTCCGGTAAGGAGGTGCGAGAGGTTGACATTGGAGGGCCTTAGGAGAGGTAGAGGTAGGCCGAAAAAGAGTTTGGGGGAGGTGATTAGGCATGACATGGCGCAGCTACAGCTGACCGAAGACATGAACCGTGATAGGAAGGTGTGGAGGTCCAAGATTAGGATAGTAGGTTAGTAGTCTAGATTATTCATACCGGTAGTGCTAGTACGTAGTCTCGCATTTGGTTGGTAGCAGGCTTATTTGAATACCTGTCCTTTTTTTTAACATTTCGATCATCTTACTCTCTTGTTGTGTATGCTGCTTTTACATGGTTTTTCGTTATTGTCCCGTTTTGTTTCTTGTTATTATTGTGGTACATATGTTTGCTTGAGCCGAGGGTCTATTGGAAACAGCCTCTCTGCCTCCAAGAGGTAGAGGTAAGGTCTGCATACACACTACCCTCCCCAGACTCCACTATGTGGGATTATATTGGGTATGTTGTTGTTGTTTTCCCTTCACTTGGTAGTGAAAACATTTTCCTCCAATTGGAGGAAAATGAGTTTATGAGGAAAATATTTTCCAAAACATTTAAGCCAATAAAACATGGGAAAATTGGAAAAAATTTTCCGAAAAATATTTTCCATCGTACCAAACACACCCATAGTATTGAGCAAAATCCTGAAATTGACTCCATGGTGTCTATCAGATCATCATGTGACTGAAGCAGCATACAATTTAAATATAAAAAGTATTAAAAAGTTGCAACAGTTCTTACAACAAACAAGAAACAGGAGTTACCTCCAGACGCTCATCTCCGCTAGGGAAGGGTCTCATCAGCGAAAAAGGTGCTCTTCGGTTGCTTCTAAGTATGCCATCTTTTAGCCCTGATAGGGAGTAGGAATATCCACCCACTATGTACTGGAACTCAGAGAAAAACGCCCTCCTATCAATCATGCCCCCAGGATGACCAACCCTGATCACAGCATGAATGGCCATAGCATTATGCAAGTTCAGAAAGAAGGCTAGCTTCTCATCTGCTGCAAGTGTTAGGATGTTCACCCTGTGGAGATCCTGAACCAAATTTATATA